AATCTCTATCTCCTGATAAAGATGCTTAACAACTTCTTTTATCTGTTTATGTAATTCATTTTCAATGTGTTCTTTCACTGTTTGGATTTGCTGTCTCGTATCCTCTTTAAGGTTCCATTCCATCTGTCTAAGGTATTCCTTGAGTTCTTTATATGACTATTTTTCTGATGACTCTAGGTCCTCCTGAATATTTAGGCTGCCCTTCATTGTTTGTACTCCTTTCTTCCTTGCTTTTTTATGCTGCTCATGTTGTTTCTTGTTCTGTTTGACTGCTGAGTTACTGTTTACTCTTATAAATTTTTTTGATGCTGTCACCGCTGGTTTCAATGAAGTTATCTCCTCCGCCTGTGACATCAGTTCTCTGCCATGGTGGTATCCCATGCAAATGGTGACCATTCGTTCCCTTTGCTGGGTGACCAATGCAATGGGTGGGTCTGACTGTCTCTCCCAAGCCCCRTTTCAATCCTGTGGCCACTGCCTATGAAGGCTCGGTTGGCTTTTACCTCTGTAAGTTCAGAAGGGCTGACCAGTTATTTCAGCGGGATCGTTAGTGCTGAGTCACGAGAAGCAGGCGAACCGGAGCTTGAATGCAGCCGATCCGGGCTTGGTGTGTGTTCTGAGAGGCCCAAACTGTTCGCCCCAGATCCACGTCAGCTCAGCATTGCCTAGTGATCCTGAGCAAACAGCATTTAGACAGTTTACGACTCCCTATGCCTGCGCAACTGAAGAGGTCAGAGACTTGATCTCTCTGCGCCCGCCGCCATGTTGGATCTCCAGGAATACTTCTTAACTCATTTTATAAGGCCAGGATTACCCTGAAAACAAAGTCATCAAGTGCGGGACCGCGTCCCGGGGCGAGGCGCGAAGGGAAAGCCCGCGGCGACTGGATGATTAAATTTTAAAAATTTAAATAAAAGTGAACAGAAGGGGTGCTAGAGATTTAGCTCAGTTGATAGAGTGCTTGCCTTGAATGCACAAGGCCCTGGATTCAATTCCCAGCACCATAAAAAAAAAAAAAAAAAACTGAACAGAGAACTAACATTTTGTCTGTGTCTCTCTCACCTTGTTTTTTATCACAGAGAGACCCTGAACAGCAGTCCCTTTGGGCAACCAGTTAGTATTCAGTAGACATGTAGTGCACTTCTAAATAAAGAATAGTTTCTCATTGAAAAGAGCAACAAGTGATTAATATCTTCAGCTCTTCTAGGTACAGGCCTTAGTTTGAGTTTTGGGGACAATGATAGTAATTTTTAAAATAAATTTTATTTTATTGATTGGTGCCTGGACCCAGGACCCTATGAATGTTAACCACGCACTCTACCACTGAGCTACACCCCTAGCCAATAGTAATAATTTTAAGTGATAATAATATTATTATGTTTGTATCCAGCTTAATACCATATATATAGACTTTATAACTTACAAATAAGAGCATATTAGGTAAAATTATTTATGTGTAATTATGTATGCACATGCATTATACATATTTWTATATATATATACATATATGATAATAATACTCATAATAACCACATGACGTAGGTACTACCATCCCTTTTGTATAGGTAAGAAAAATGGAGATTTACAGAAATCTAACAAAATATAATATTCTGAAGTTTATATGTTTTTCATATGATCTATAGCTTTATTTACTCATTAGTGACTGTTCACTCATTTAACTAATAGTTATTGTTAATAATTAATGTATCCAGCACTTAACTAAATTCAGGATACAAAATGACAAGGGGTGGTTTCTGCTCTCAAGGATCCTATAACCTACTGAAAAAAAGTAAAATAGCGTTTATGTAGCATTTTGTTGTTTAGAAATATATTTCACATATATTACCTCATTTAATCTTCATAGTATCTCATGTTAGAAGTTGGGGAATTGAGTATGTCAGACAGAAATTGAACCCAAGCTGAAGAATCATTTGTTATGCTGCAGCTCTTCTTACAAGGGGTAGAATCATGTCTGAGCCATGTTTATTATTTCAAGGCTTCAGGTTAGTTTCCTTTGAAGTATAGTTGATTCTATACAAGGAAATTGAAGACCATATGAAATAACCTGGAAGACAAGTTTTAGTGTTCTGCTCATTCTTAGGTAGGAATTGCTCTACATATTTAGGGCATTATTTTAAAAGAAATTCATTTCATTCATTCATTAAAAGGCCAGAAAGTGAAAAGGTTTTTAATTCTTTATATCTTTGTTTATTCAGTTACTTAAAATGTTTTATCTTCAATTTTTATCACAGGCAACTTCAGAGTGGACCTTGGATTACCCTCCTTTTTTTGCGTGGTTTGAGTATGTCCTGTCACATGTTGCCAAATATTTTGATCAAGCGATGCTTAATGTTCATAATCTGAACTACTGCAGCTCAAGGACCTTATTTTTCCAGAGATTTTCTGTCATCTTTACAGATGCACTCTTTGTGTATGCTGTCTACGAGTAAGTGGGAAATGTCATTCTGTGTGGAGGGTATTGAAGAAATATAGTATTAAATAGATTTACTTATTCCTGATTTAGAGGAAACAAAGCTCATGTAACAGAATACTGTGAGTAAGTACGTGAGCAGTCTAATGTAATCTTGCAGAAGAAATTAGAATGAGGTCAGGTGGCAAGGCAGAGGTAGAAAAAGAAATTGTGATGTTGTAGGGGAAAAAAAGTAGACCAAATAGAGTTCCAAGACCATTTCTCCCAGCCAGAATATCTCCACATGCTTTTCTTTCCTTCCTTGCAGCAGGCCCTCAGAGGCTTTTATGGCTGCCTTGTTCTTTGGGATGCACATAAACACTGTGCACATATAATCCATTGTGTTCATCACCAAAGCCTGCTGTTAGAAGTTTACATTCCGCTAAACTCAAGAAATCTTAGTACTTTTAGCTGTTATTTCTGGATTCTTTTCTTCATGAAGACTCTTCATTATGTTAACCTTTTTATATTTTATATCTTACATCTTATAACTTAGTTTTAAATAAATATTCATATATAGTATGTCTTGCACAGTGACTTCCAAATATGTAAGTTTTCATTTAAAGTTGGCTTCCATCCTTTCATAAAACTTAAACCTGCCAGTGTGATTGTGACGGAGCAGTAACTAATGTCCGTTCAGTGACCCTTGGCATAAATGGATCCTTTCTATTAGTGAGACCCTCTAGACTGAACCCTTGTCCCAGTCAGGAAGAGTCCCTTGGGAATGTGTTAATCTCTGCTTTTCTCTTTGAGTAATTCCTGTTTGACCTCCTTTCTTTCACTCTTTGTGACTTGGCAAAAGTTGGAAGGAAGATGATTTGTAGTATACTCCTTTTAACTCAAAATATTTGAATTCAGGCTCTTTCCAAGAAAGGGAGAGAGAGCAAAATTAATTTCAAAGTAGGGAAAATAGTTAAATAAAAGCATCAAAATGTATATGCTGATTCCCAGAACCAGGCACTGTGGGTAGATTATTAATTTATTTAATTTTCTCAATTATTCTAAAAGGTTACAGTCCCTATTCATGAGGAAGCTGAGTCTTCATCAAGGAAAAGCAGTACCCTCTTTAACTGTCTCTATTATTGTTTTTTTGTTTGTTTGCTTTGGTACTAGGGATTGAACCCAGGGACATTTAACCACTGGGTCATATCCCCATCTCTTATTATTTTTTATTTTGAGACAAGGTCTTATTAAGTTGCTTAGGCTGACTTTGAATTTGTGATCCTTCCGCCTCAGCCTCCCATGCTGCTGGGATTACAGTCACCACCATGCTGGGCCCTTTATTGTTTTTCAAATTAGCTGATATTTCAAACGTAACACATTTTTAAACATATTTTCATAAAATAATACATCTTCTTTGACAAATTTTGGAAAAGCACTCATACAAACACAAAGTAAAAATGACCCTATTTTCTCCCTTCCATAATTGTTACTATTAACATTTTGATGTATATTTGGTCTCTTTGGGGCTTTAATATATATATATATATTTTTTTGGGGGGGGGTGGTGGTGATGCTTGCTGTTGAACCCATGTGCATGCAAGGCAGGTACTCTACCAAATGAGCTATATCCCCAGCCCTTCCTATAATTTTTATAAAATAAAATAAAAATGGGATTATATTTTTATTACTTTTATTGTTACTTAATATATCACAACATTTAAATAGCATACAATTTTACATAAAATTTTTATAAAATTATTATTTGGACAAGCAAGAGTCTCAAGTTTGCTACTCCATTGGGGTTTGTGATTCAACCCAGGGGCTTGCACATGCTCTACCACTGAGCTACATCCCAAGCCCCTGCGGTTTTTTATTCTAAAGGACTGAAATAATATAAGTTTTCAAAAGACTTATTTTGGAGTTTTAGGTGACTTTTTATTTTATTTTTAATTAAATGAAGACTTTGATTAAGAAGAACATAGCTGAGAAAGACATGGAACCAGCCCTGAGTTCTTTGTCTCTGCTGCCACCTTTATAAGCAACTAAGAATAGCATGGACAGTTTGTCAGTAATGGCTTGGCTTGTAAAATGTACTCTGCAGAAGTATCGTGATGTTCTAGTGAAAAATCAAAGTTTTCATTTCATTCCTGATGAATCAATAGGTGCTGTAAATGCATCAATGGAAAAAAGGCGGGTAAAGAACTTACAGAGAAACCAAAGTTTATTCTTTCAGTGTTACTATTGTGGAATTTCGGATTGTTAATTGTGGACCGTATCCTTGATACTCTGTGTAATATTTTCCTTATGTCTTCTAAAGTATACTATTAAGATTAAATCTTTTAATAATTATGATTTCTAAATGTGAACTTCTTTTGAAAATTGGCATCAGGTGAATTAATGGGCTTCTAAAACTATGCTTTCTGCCCTTTATTAGTGGACTCTGGCTGTTGGAACACTTTGTCCCTGAGAAGTTAGTGGTAATATATGAAAATCTCTTAAACTATTCTTAAAGAGCTGTGGATGTGGCTCAATGGTAGAGTACTTGCCTAGCATGCGTGGGGCCCTGGGTTCAATCCCCAGTACCACAAGAAAACAAAATCATATATGAGAGTGTGTGTATATGTATATGTACTCACATATATGTGTATGCTCAAATTTGTCAGCTGTCTTTTTTCTTCTTTTTAATTTGGCACTGAGGATTGAATTATATCACCACATCTAGCTGTTTTGATTAATTAAATGGTACTGAGGATTAAAACCTAGGTGCTTTACCACTGTGCTACATCCCTGGCCCTTTTTTTTTTTTTTTTTTTAGGACAGGGTCTCACTAAATTGCCCAGCCTGACCTCAGAGTTGCAGTTCTCCTGCCTCAGCCACTGGTATTACAGGCATGTATTACCATGCCCAACTGTTAACTGTTTTTAGATTAAACTAATATATATTAAATAGTTTATAACACATTAGACTAAATACCTCTTATAGGAAAGGATGTTACATTTGGAGTAGCCAGACCTTCATGCTTTCCTACCATTTTGGCTTACTACCTATTAACAGGCAAAATTCTTAAATTCAGAGGATCTTTATGTAATTAAACTCCTAATGATAGAAATCTAATAGTTTGCAATTTTCATAAAAGTAGATTGGTGTAGAGAATACTTGGACTTTGTTTTTAATCTGACCTGCACTTAAATCATAGTTATGTTGTCACTGTAGCTTTAGGACCATGAATAGTCTCAAAAAAAAAGGGTTAGAGGTGTAGCTCAGTGGTAGATTGCCCTACCACTAAGCATCAATCCCTAGTACTACAATCAATCAATAAATGGTAATTCTGAATACCTCACAAATTCATTGTGAAGCTTAATAAATAAGATTGAGTATGTCAATGGAATATTACTCAGCCATAAAGAAGAATGAAATTATGGCACTTGCAGGTGAAAATATGGACCCAGAGACTATCATGCTAAGTGAAATAAGCAAATTCCAAAAAACCAAAGGCCAAATGTTCTCTCTGATATTCATATGCTACCTCACAATAAGCAGGGGAAAGGAAAAAATAGACGTTAACTGGATTAGACAAAGGGGAATGAAGGGAAGGGAGAGGAAAGAGGGATGGGAATGGGAATGACAGTAAAATGGATTGGATATAACTTTCCTGTGTTCATATGTGAATACATGACCAGTGTAACTCCACATCATGTACAGTCCCAAAAATGGAAAGTTATACCCCATGTATGTATAATATGTCAAAATACATTCTACTGTCATGTATAACTAAAAAGAACAAATAAAAACTTTTTTTAAACATTTATTCTTTAGTTGTAGGTGGACACAATACCTTTATTTAATTTTTATGTAGTGCTGAGGATTGAACTCAATGCCTTACTCATGCTAGGCGAGCACTTTTCCTCTGAGCCACAACTSTAGCCCCCAAATAAAACATTTTTTTAAAAAAGATTGTGTATTACTTCAAATTACGTCAAACAATGAAGTGCTGCATGCTAGCACTTAAATGGCTATTAGGTACCTCCATTTTTCAACCCTAATTCTGAAAAACGAAACAAAATGTAAACTGGTGGGTGCACATCTATAATCTCAACAACTCAGGACATTGTGGCAGCAGGATCACAAATTTGAGGCCAGTCTTAGCAATTTATGCAGGCCTTGTCTCAAAATTTAAAAATAAAAAGTACTGGGAAAATAATTCAGTGTTAGACTACTTGCCTCTGGGTTCAATCCCCAGGACCCCACAAACATCAAAACAAAATAGAAACTTCTTGCACCTTAGCTGATGGCCATTAAGTTAGGAAAAACCATAGGAAAGATTCTGTTTTTCTTCTTAAACATTAATTTTAGAAGATTTTTTTGACTCTTTATGGAAAACATTTATGAGAAGTCCAAATTATTAGTAGTATATTTGTCTTTAAGGAAGCATTTGCAATTTCTATATTCATTTGGCGGTCACTGTTCATTATGAATTTGGGGTCTTCTGATGTGTTTCCTTGACATATATCCAGATATTCATTTCCAGTACAATGGATTCCTGTTTGGATTAATGCTGCTCTCCATTGCACGGTTATTTCAGGTAAACACAAAGTGCCTAATTAGATTTTTCTCCCTTTAGATTATTGCTTGTGAAGACAACATTGTAGTGGGTAATTTTTATTTGACCCCTTGCTTAGGGTTTCCAAGTGCTATAGACATTTTTATTGGGTATTCTCAAAAATTCCATGTTCTCTTTTGACAGTAATTTTCTCCATCTTGCAGATGAGAAAATTATACTCTAAGAACTTTTATTAAGAGTGTGGGAGGCTTGAATTTAATTTGAGTTCTATGTTAGGTTGATACCATTTCCATAGGAATGAGATCTCTAGCAGTTTTTACAGTGTGCTAACTATGATGGTGGTGCTTTACCATAAAAGCTTATAGAATAGTGTAATAGAAAATAAAAGACCTGGGTTGAAATCCTGACTAACAGTAATGAGCACACAAGTGCATTTGCTGTTTCAGATTCGTTACATAGGATATCTCACTGAGGCTACCTTACAAACATTCTGTGAAGTTGTCTTAGCTATTATCCTCCTTTTATAGAGGAAGAAATCAGAAATTCAGATTTCTAGGTGACTCTTCAGTTCTGGAATTGATATTTAGGAATCTCCCAAGGAATTTTCTTAAACCATCAGGTTTGAGAATCACTGCCCAGGGACAAGTCATTGAACCATCTTAGCCTTTGTTTTCTCATCCATAAAATGAAACTTACCCCTTGGTTCTTTTTTTGTAGAAAGGGGTTTCCTATCACAGGGACTTTGGAAAGATCAAATTTGGTATCTGTTTTAAAGTACCTTGTCAGCTGTAGGGGCTGGGTGTAGCTCAGTGGTAGACTGTTTGCCCAGCATGTGCAAGGCCCTGGGTTTTAACAACAGCACCACAAAAACATAAATAAAAATTTAAATAAAGTTCTTGGTCAACTCTAAATGGCTAGATAAACATTTTGGGTGGGGGCGGGTACCAGGAATTGAACTCAGGCACTCGACCACTGAGCCACATCCCCACCCTATTTTGTATTTTATTTAGAGACAGGGTCTCACTGAGTCATTTAGCGTCTTGCTTTTGCTGAGGCTAGCTTTGAACTTGTGATCCTCCTGCCTCAGCCTCCTGAACAGCTGGTATTGCGGGCATGTGCCATTGCACCCAGCTAGATGAACTTTCTAGCAATAAAAAGCCACAAAGTGCGTGGAACATATTGGTGTTCAGTGAATGATTACTGCATGGTTGTTGAGCAAATGAACTAAAATTTGACTGTAGAATCAACTAGACTTTATTTGGATTTTAAATTAAGTTATGAAATTAGTAAAGAGAGATGTGGAAGCATCCCATTCTATTTCCTTATTATTCCTAAACTTACCTATTCTAGACCACACCTGATAAAACAGTAAGAAAAGGAACTTGGCCTTTTATGGTCCCTTTGGCAGTTTCCCTTACTGAACACGAGGACCATTACCACATTTGATCCTTCCAAAATTCCTGTGAGGTAGGTAGAATTCAGACTTCTTTAATTATAGTTAACTTGTTTTTATGTTGGTTGTGGTTTTGTTTCTTAAACAAAATACCTGTATTTCTAGGTAGTTTGTTAGGATCAAGTGCTATACCTGGTACCTTCAACCTATAACAAGTTACCTGATATGTAATAGTAATATAAGATTTAGCCAGGGATGGTGGCATGTGCCTTTAGTCCCAGCTACTCTGAAGGATGAGGCCTGAAGATCTCTTGAGCCCAGGAGTTCAAGACCAGCCTGGTTAACATTGCAAGGTCCCATCTTTAAAAATAAAAAAAGATTAAATTTTTTAGTATAGCATCATATATATTCATACTCTTTTTTTTTTAAGGAGAGAGAGAGAATTTTTTAATATTTATTTTTTAGTTTTCAGCAGACACAACATCTTTGTTTGTATGTGGTGCTGAGGATCAAACCTGGGCCGCACGYATGCCAGGCAAGCGCGCTACTGCTTGAGCCACACATCCCCAGCCCATATATTCATGCTCTTATTCCCAATTCTTCTTTGGAAATCCACGTATTATAAGACTTTTTAAGGGGTGAAAGTAATTGAATTCTTTTGGCTATAGCTCCTTAGGGATGATTTGTAATATGTTGTTATTAATGATACATCCTGTATCTCAAGCATCAGGCTTGGTACTTAATAAATATTTGTTGAAATAATGAATTTATGAACCCACTAGGCTAAGTATTAGAATCACTTGCCTTTGTACTCCTCCTTATATTGCCTATAAAATATTTACCTTCAATTTTATAACTTTTTTTTTTAACTGTACTACAGATTGAATCCAGGACCTCACACACACTATGCAAGCATTCCACCACTGAGCTATATTCCCAGAGATACATTTGTATGATTTAAATTTTCTATAATAAAAGTTTTACAACTGGAGACATAGCTCAATTGTAGAGCGCTTGCCTGGTACATGTGAGGCCCTGGGTTCCATCCTCAGCGCTGCAAAAAAAGAAAAAATGAGGCAGTCATACAGAAGTAGAGAAAATAGAACAGTGATCTACAGATACACGTGAGATTATTTTTAAATATATCCCAAATAGCATATTTCGTTTATATTTTAGAATATATTTATTTGAAAATTGACATTGTTGGGCTGTGGCTCAGTGGTAGCGCACTTGCCTAGCATGTGTGAGGCACTGCATTTGGTTCTCAGTACCACGTATAAATTTWAAAAAAGGTCTATCAACAACTAAACATAAAAATTAAATAAAAAAATATTTGACATTGTTTTAGCTGGATGCATAGAGCAAGTCTGTAGTCCCAACTTTTCAGAAGGCCGAGACTAGAGGATCATTTGAGCCCAGGAGTTCAAGGCCAGCTTAGGGACATAGCAAGATCCCCAACACTTCAATAAAACAAACTAACAAAATACTTTCTTTTCTTTTTTGTGGGGTGGGGCACTGAGAATTGAACCCAGGGCTCACATGTGCTAGGCAAGCCTTCTACCAAGTTAAATCCCCAGCCCTTTTGTTTTCTGAGACTGGTTCTCAGTAGCCCAGGGTGGCCTCAAACTTGTGATCCTCTTGCCTCAGTCTCCTGAGTAGCTGCTGTTATAGGTGTGTGCAACCATCCCTGGATGTTTTTCTGTTTTTCAGTAAAAATTTTGTGAGTAATCACAAAAGTTGTAAAAATAATACAGAGTTCCTGTGTATTCCTCAACTATTTTCCCCTAATGTTACCATCTTACTTGACCACCAGTTTTCCACTCATGTCCTTTTTCCTCTTTCAGGATTCAATCAAGGATACTAAATTATTGCAATTTCTTTTACCTTGAGTTTTAAAGTAATATTTCCCTTTTCAATCTTCTAGAAAAGGCATGTGGAAGGAGCATTTTTCTTTGCCGTTCTCCTACATTTGAAGCACATCTACTTCTATGTAGCACCAGTTTACAGTATATACCTGCTACGCTCTTACTGTTTCACTGCAAATAAACCAGGCAAGTTTTACTAATAACAAAATGTTTTTTTTGTTTTCTTCTTTAACTGTATTGACTTAGTGCCTTACTGTATAAAGTTTTATGAATCACAACAGATATTTCTCATCTATTGATCCTATTGACTCTTTACCCATCCTGACTTTTCTCTGTTCTTTCAATATCATAAAGACAAATAGCCCAAAGGGGATACTTCTAGTTATTATTGGGTTATATTTCTCCAAGCTGCTGGTTAATGGTAATGTTCCTTTTCTGTAGATGGGTCTGTCCGATGGAACAGTTTCAGCTTTGTCCGTGTTATTTTGCTGGGACTTATTGTTTTCCTGGTTTCTGCTCTTTCACTGGGTCCTTTCCTAGCCTTGGTAAGCCTGTTTATTTTTTTCTTCTTTTTTAAAAATAAAGAAATACATGTGTTTGTCATTGTTTAGTAGAAAATTATAAAGCCAGAAATATATGAAATAAGTACAACTACTCATTTCTTACCCCCTCCCCTTTTTGACTTTCACAAAACTAGGGTAGTATCGTTTCAGACATTGTTGTGCATATTCAAATGTGTACATGTATATATATATACATGTATATGTTAACTGTATATTATACACACAGATATACGCAGAAGTGATCCTCATTATTTGTGGATTTTTTATTTTCAAATTCACATACTTGCTGAAATTTATTTCTAACCCCCCAAATCAGTATTTTTATAATCTTTCATATACAGCAAAATGCCTAGAAGAGATGTTCAAGTGTTTCTGTTTTCCTGTTGCTCCCCACCCTGAAGTCAGTTTTAACTTCTACTAAAACTGAAAAGTACCATATCTCTTATAGACTTTCCTGCTCTCCCCTTCACTCMAGTAAACTTGGATGATCTGCTTTCTGAATTCTCCTTTGCACCTTACAAATTCTTTCATTATTGTTTACTTCATAATAGTATGGAACTTGTATTCAGTGTTTTCTTATGTGTCTTGCCCCATTGACTGGTTGATAAGATTAGATTAAAAAAGGTCTATAAACTGCTCAGGATCATACAAAACTGTTTACTTGAAGGAACAAACTGGTACTAGACCTTATAACTTTCTACACATTGTGCCATAGACAGCTTTCCAATTTTGTTTTTGACATTGGGAAAAATTGATGACTGTTCAATCACTTCTTTTTTTAACAGAACCAGCTGCCTCAAGTCTTTTCCCGACTCTTTCCTTTCAAGAGGGGCCTCTGCCATGCATACTGGGCTCCAAACTTCTGGGCCTTGTACAATGCTTTGGACAAAGTTCTGTCTGTCATTGGTATGGTATCATATCTTTTCAAAACTTAGACTGTGAATATTGATAGGACTGGTCACATCCAGAAATATGTTGTGAATGTGGCTGAATTGTTTTTTCTCCAGTCCTGCATTTAGCCCTCAGGATGAACAGAGGAAACATTTCTTGGGACTGAGGTTTAGTTCTGTAAACAAATTGCATTCTTTAAAAAAGCTCCTTGTGGAAATGGAATTCTTTCCTTGGTAAAAAACAATATATAGATAGTTCAGAGGCAATTTTTGCCTGAAGTAAAACATTCAGCAGAAATAACCTTACTTTTATACTTAAATATATGAAGAAGCAAGAATAGAGAATGTATAAATTGTGACTCTGAATATTAAGCCAATAAGGAAAATGATAACCATGCATTTTAGCATGAGATGAAAAGAAATGAAAAAGCCCAGTCTATACGTTTTCCTTCCCCCCCCCCCCCCCCCCCCAGTTCTGAGAATTAAACCCAGGGATGTTTTACCACTGAGTTACATTCCCAGCCCTTTTATTTTGAGACAGAGTCTCACTGAGTTGCTTAGGGTCTTACTTAGTTGCTGAGGCTAGCCTTGAACCTGAAATCATGTTCCCAAACCCCAGGCATGCACTACCACACCTAGCTTTCTTTTCCTTCTTGAGATGCAATCTCACTGTATTGCCAAGGCTGATATTGAACTCCTGGGTTCAAGTGATTCTCTTTACTCAACTTCCTAAGTGWTGAGACTATACAGACACATACCATGCCTGGCTTAGGCAATGCATTTCATGTTTGTGTTGTAATGAACACTAATGTACACCTTGAGATGGTTATGTTAAAAATAACTCACTATGAGCGGGATTTGTGGCTCAGTGGTAGAGCGCTCACCTAGCATGTGCAAGGCCCTGGGTTCGATCCTCAGCACCACATAAAAATAAATAAATAAAATAAAGGTATTGTGTCCAACTACAACTAAAAAAAAGAATAACTCACTATGGAATAACTCATTCCCGTCTATGAATCATGCCCACCCTGGTGAGAAAAAGCAGGACAGGGCCAATTGCCTTATCTGAACCAAGAAACTGCTATACTTTGTATATCTGCCTCCTCAAAGATGTCTCACATGGAAAGTCAGTGACAAGTTAGGCAACTGTGTTGCAGGGAAATAATTGTTAACTTTTAATAGAGAATCAACGGACTGAAGGGGACAGAGAAAGGGGTGAATAAGCAGAAAATATTTTAGTAGTCTACATCTTTTCTTCAAGATTTATGGGGCGGTGGGGTGGGGGGGTGCTGGAGAGTGAACCCAGGGCCTTGTGCATATGAGGCAAGCAATCTACCAACAGCTATATCCCCAGACCTCCCTCAAGATTTTTATTTTTAATTTTTTTTTTTTTTTTTAGTTTTGTACCTGGAGATGGAAAGAATGCCTTTATTTATTTTTACATGGTGCTGAGGATCAAACCCAGTGTGTCACACATGCCAGGCAAGCACTCTGCCACTGAGCTACAGCCCCACCCCTCTCCCTCAAGAGGGAGATTTAGTAATGGCATTTAGAAGGGCTTTACAGGTGCTCAAACTATCTGTGACTGTCCTGTTACTCTGGTGCTTGTTTGAGAAGGAGCTTGCATCATTATTCCAAATTTGGTTTATTTAACAAGTTGTTTTTTTTAAACTCGTTAGTTCAGAGGAGACAACATCCTATCATTTCTGTCTTTAAGGGAACATAGTATAATAAAGGAAATAAGCATGAAAACAAAAACAGTGTAGTATACAAACACTACAATAGAAAGCTTAAAAGAAAATCATCTCTGCTTTTTGATTTAGGAACTAAGATGAATAAGTGAATTAAGAGTTAATTTGGCAAAACAAGTAGATCATTCTAAGCAAAGAGTGGCCTGAGCAAAAGGACACAGATGTTGAGAGTGATATGTTGAGGACCTATAGTTAGTTCGTGATAAGCAGGCCACATTTAACAAAGAAGAGATGAGGCTGGAGAAGTAAGAAGGAGCTAGATCATGGAAGACTTCGTATTTAAGATTATGGACTTTCTCCTATAAGAAATGAAAGAATCAGGCTGGGTATGGTGGCGCATACCTTTAATCTCAGCAATTTGAGAGGCTCACACAAGATGATTCCAAGTTCAAGGCCAACCTTAGCATCTTATCGAGGTCTTAAGAAACTTGGCCAGACCCTGTTTCAAAATATTAAAAAATAAAGGGATGGAGATGTAATTCAACAATAAGTGCCCCTGAGTTTAGTCCCTACTGCCAAAAAAGGAAAAGAAATTATGAATTCAAAGTTGGGATTTGACATAGTCTGCATTCTAAAAACTTGCTTCATTTAAGAGGTAAGAGCAGATTATTGTTTACATATTACCTGCCCACAAGATTCCTGTAGGCTGCCACAGTTCCCCATTTCAATGCAAACAGCTACTTTATAGATTATAACTTAAAGCAAGAGGCATTCTGCCAGAGGTAGGACAGTACAGACTTAAATTCATGAAATCTTGCTTTAAGCAACAAAATTTCTCAAGGTAATTATGGAGTCCCATTAATTACAAATATGTGTGTGTATGAGTGTGTGTGCGAGTGTGTTTGTTTGTTTATTTATTCTCTAGGTTTGGAATTGAAACTTCTTGATCCCAACAAGATCCCTAAGGCCTCAATGACAAGTGGTTTGGTTCAGCAGTTCCAACATATAGTCCTTCCCTCAGTGACTCCCTTGGCAACACTCATCTGCACTCTGATCGCCATATTGGTAAGAATTCAGCTGGTATTACTTGAGTTTTCTCTGCTTTTCTGTTGTGTGGCTGATTGAATTTCAACATGAAGGTTTTCAGACTGCAGGGTGAATTCCATGGCTGTAATCCTGCAGACTGAAGCATTTCCTGGCAACTCTTAGAGAAACTTTGTACATGGTAGGGAAGGATTGCCAATAAAGCCTCTGCAAGATTCTTGCCAGTGGCTGTTAGACCATCTGTCYACCCTGGGGTGAGGAAAAAAGAAAGCCCATAGAGAAGACATGAACCATGCTGTGAAGAAAGAGGAAATCTTTGTGGCAGATCATCCAGATTGTTTTGTTTTTCTCATCCTAGCTAAATGATCAGCATTCCAAATATGTCTAGATGGCATGGATATTTTGTCTTGATATAGATAATGAGCTGAGAAAGTCAATAATGACTCTTTGCATATCAGTTGAGTCTGTTGAGTCAGATGCTGTTAGAGCCTTCATTCATTGTTAGTGATCATGGTGACTTCAATTTTGTGATATAATTTCAGTAAAATTCCAATAAATTCAATCCTGTTGATGATTATGCTCAGTGTTAATTTTCATTTCCGAACTTATTTGCAAGACACCTGACTCCACTTAGGTACGTGGCAGTACTAGTATGTAGATAACTAAGCTCTGCTGGCCTACTTKTTCACATGTTTTCACTGAGGTCAAAACCTTTTTTCAAAAATCTCAGCCTAGTAAGCTGCGTATAGAAGCAGTAGTTTTATTGTAAATTGTACTCCAACCCAAAAAGGTACATGTTTGCTTATTAATTTGGTAACATCTAACTTATTAGCCCCAAAATATCTGAACTTTGTAGTTTCATCTAATAGATTGAGCTAATACTAATTATAAAGATATAAATCATTATACTGTATATCCAGAACTTAATTGTCATTTGTTAATTTTGATAATTAGAATTGCTTTTAATGAGTTAAATATACACTTCCAAATGCCTGCTTATTCTGAGTTATTGCTTTCATGTTAATGTTTGTTGGACTAGGGGGCTGGCGTTGCAGCTCATTGATAGAGCACTTGCCTAGCACATGTGAGGCACTGGGTTTGATCCTCAGCACCACATAAAAATAAATAAAAAATAAAATAAAGATATTATGTCCACATGCTACTAAAAACAAACAAAAAAAGATTATATTAAAAAATGGTGCACTGTGCACACTGTGATAAATTACACCAATTTAATAGAGACTTGTCTATTATTTTTCAGCATTAATACAAATTGCATTTGCCTGATCCTGTCAAGCTGGGATTTTAAATGACACTGAAATTTTATCTTTATTTATTATTTCTAGCCCTCCATTTTCTGTCTTTGGTTTAAACCCCAAGGGCCCAGAGGCTTTCTCCGATGTCTAATTCTTTGTGCCTTGAGCTCCTTCATGTTTGGGTGGCATGTCCATGAAAAAGCCATACTCCTCGCAATTCTCCCAATGAGGTAAGCACATAGCTTAGTCAGTCTGCATTTCTGGCATATTTCACGGTGTCTTGTTGTTTTCCATTTGCTCGGATCCTTTTTGTCATGTTCATCAGGGTAGGCAAAGGCAAAGGAACAGTTCAACAGGACAGGAATGTTTACTTGGGATCCCTGGGCCCATGAAGGTTCCAAGGTATGCAAAAATGCATGTGATGTTTCTACATTTTTTGGTAAAAATACTGTAATAATTAAATATCATGATAGGTGTGGATGTTGAACGGCAACATGGTTTAGAAAAAGCCTGGGCTTTGGCAATATCTCCTCTGTTAAAATAAAGTCCCATGGTTCCTTGTTAAGTGTTAGTTAAAATAAGGATTGAGACCATTCTGTAATAATTCTGTAATRTTTAGATTATAGAAGTAGATTTTCCAATACTGTTTGTTTGCTTTATTATCATTATTATTATTATTTTGCATTCTTCCTTTGAGCCTCTCAACAGTCTTTAAGATAATTAGAATAAATGGGTATCATCCCCTTTCTTAACATCTGTAGAAACGAGGACTCAAAGAATTTATGCCCTATTTTGTATTTTATTTAGAGATAGGGTCTCACTGAGTTATTTAGTGCCTCATAGTTGCTAAGGCTGGTTTTGAACTCTCGGTCCTCCTGCTCAGCCTCCTGAGCCACTGGGATTACAGGTGAGCACCAACACGCCCTGCTGAAAAGAAGCATTTTAAAGGTAGTAGTATCCATTTTATGTACAATTGAAACCCAATAGATAGATGATAATGTAATAGGCCTTTTTTCTTGGATGTTTTTCTCAAATCTTGAGAAATCATTTAAAACTCTAAAAGAACATTAAAGTAAAATTTTCAGGTCAGTTTATGGCTTCTCTGGGTTTATTTAGCAACATGAAATTGTCAGATTAAAAAGTAGAACAGTTTGGGTGCGGTGACACACACCTGTAATCCCAACAGCTCAGGAGAATCACACATTCAAAGAGTCTCAACAGTGATCTTGTCTCAAAATAAAAAATAAAAAGGTCTGGGGGATGTGGCTCAGTGGGTAAGCACCCTTGGGTTCAATCCCTGGTGGAGCCCCCTCCCCCCAAAAATAGTCTTTTTCTGAATTCATACTGAAGGTATAGGGCATTATCTAGGAGATGAGCTATGGGGTTGGAAATGAAATTCTGAATCCTGTTTGCCTGACTACTACCACTAGGCAGCTCCCAATCCCACAAGATTCCTTTCTTTGGAGAAGTTATTTCCTGATTTGGTTTGGTATACTCTATCAGTCACTTAACTTTTCCTATTAAAAAAAAAAATTATTCTCTAGAGGACACAGAGACTAACCCATATAATTACAGTTATCTTATTATTACACAAAGGCCAAAAACATATATTGGAGAAAAGATAGCCTCTTCAACAAATGCTGCTGGGAAAACTGGAAATCCATGTGCAACAAAATGAGATTAAACCCCTATCTCTCATCATGCACAAAATTCAACTCAAAGTGGATCAAGGACTTAGGAATTAAACCAGAGACCCTGCATCTAACAGAAGAAAAAGTAGGCCCAAATCTCCATCATATCGGATTAGGCCCCTTCTTCCTTAATAAGACTCCTATAGTGCAATAATTAAAATCAAGAATTAATAAATGGAATAGATTCAAACTAAAAAGCTTCTTCTTAGCAAAAGAAACAATCAGTGAGGTGAATAGAGAGCCTACAGCTTAGGAACAGATTTTTACCACTTGCACATCAGATAGAGCTTTAATCTCTAGAGTATATAAAGAACTCAAAAAGCTAAACACCAAAAAACAAATAACCCAATCAATAAATGGACCAAGGAACTGACAGAAGATGATATACGATCAATCAACAAATATATGAAAAAATGTTCAACATCTCTAGCAATTAGAGAAATGCAAATCAAAACTACTCGCTCTAATCAGAATGGCAGCTATTAAGAATAGAAAAAACCATTGGTGAGGATGTGGGGGGAAAGGCACACTCATACATTGCTGCTGGGATTGCAAAATGGTACAGTCAATATGGAAAGCAGTATGGAGACTCCTTGGAAGGTTGGGAATGGAACCACCTTTTGACCCAGCTATTCCACTCCTCGGTCTATACCCCAGGGACTTGAAAACAGCATACTACAGGGATTCAGCCACATCAGTGTTTATAGCAGCACAATTCACAATAGCTAAACTGGAACCAACCTAGATGTTGTGCATATATACACAATGGAATATTACTCAGCAATAAAAGAGAGGAAAATCATGGCATTTGCAGGTAAATGGATGGAGTTAGAGAATATCATGCTAAGTGAAGTTAGCCAATCCCAAAAAACCAAATGCCAAATGTTTTCTCTGATATAAGGAGGCTGACTCATAGTGGGGTAGGGAGGGGGAGCAATGGAGGATTTAGACCAACTCTAGATAGGGCAAAGGGGTGAGAGGGGAAGGGAAGGGACATAGGGGTAGGAAAGATGGTGGAATGAGATGGACATCATCACCTTAAGTACATGTATGAAGTCATGAACGGTGTGAATATACTTTGTATACAACCAGAGATATTAAAAATTGTATTCTATATGTGTGATATGAACTGTAATGCATTCTGCTGTCATATATAACAAATTAGAATAAAAAAATTTTCTCAATTGAATTGAACTTGTAGAAAAATCTATACTTATTTTAAGCTTAAATCAGTTGTAAGAGTAATGATAGAAGCGGTTTATTCAAGCTCTTTGCAAGTATGATTTCAGTTATTTTAAGGAATTATTGTAAGAATTTTTATTTTTAGCCTTTTGTCTGTGGAAAAAGCAGGAGATGCTTCRATTTTTCTGATTCTGACCACAACAGGACATTATTCTCTCTTCCCTCTGCTCTTCACTGCCCCAGGTAAACAGCTTCTTTTTAGATGCATTTGACACCATGTGCCTTTTTAGTCAAGGCTGGAGATCATTATTCTAATTTCAGCAATCCTAAAGTCTCAGAGATGTCATCTTAAATAAAACCTCCAGTTTGCCCTTAGTTCAAAATATCTCTAAATGTCACAAAAATGCATAAACTCAAAAATATTATTGTCATAATTAATTGTTTGTGTGTGTATATAGTCTTAAGTATCATAAATCTTTCACTTACCAGTTAAAATATCATGTGTTTTTTTTTTAAACAGAACTTCTCATTAAAATCTTACTCATGTTATTATTCTCCATCTATAGTATTACTTCACTGAAGATTCTATTCAGGTAATCAAAAAAGCACATTTAAATTATATTTACACTTCTGAAATGTTTACTACTAACTGGTAAGATAAATCTTTAAAATTTGTTTTTAAGTTATAACAGTAAAATAACATTACAAAAACTTGGTAAGCAGAGTGATAAATTACCCATAATCCTATAATTCTGGCATGACAGCATATTTGTGTCTTTAGTTTGAGGAAGTATTTGAGAAAGACTAATTAGCTTAAAGCTTTAAATGAAAACTAAAAAATGGAATGTAAAGGGCTGAGGATGTAGTTCAATGGTAGAGCACTTGAATAACATGCAAAAGGCCCTGGCTCAATCCCTAGTACTAACACACACACACACACACACACACACACACACACACACAGGATGCATTATGGATAAAATTACCTAAGTAGAGATGAAAACAAAGATATTATGTAAGAATTGTTACAGATGCTGGGTGTGATGGTGCGTATCTGTAATCCCAACTAAGGGAGGCTAAACCTGGTGAATAACAAGTTCAAGGCCAACCTGGGCAACTTAATGAGACCCTGTCTCTGAAGAAGAAAAGTGACTAGGGATATAGTCAGTGGTAGAGCATTTGCCTAGCATATGTGAGACCCTGTGTTCAATAGTTAAGATTTATGGGTGAAACTTTTTGCTCTTCTAAACTTTATATTAGTTTGCTTATGGATCATATCTATCTACATAAAAATTAATATAATTAATTATAATTATTTTAAAACTTATAAATCATGTGACCCAGTAATTTCACTCCTAGTTATACACCCAAGAGAATTGAAAACAGGGACTCAAGCAAGTACATGTATGTTAATGTGGAAATGTGCACCATTATTTACATACCCAAAAGATGCAAACCACTCAGATGGCTATCAGTAAAAATAATGGATAAATAAATTTGATATATACTTATAATGGAATTTATTTAGCCAGAAAAAGGAATGAAGTTCAGATACATGCTACAACATGGCTGAACTTTGAAAATCTGCTTAGTGAAAGAAGCCAGACACAAAACAACAAATATATTTTTTTAAATATTTTTTTGAGAGAGAAGGGGAGAGAGAGAGAGAGAGAGAATTTCAATATTTATTTTTCAGTTTTTGGCATATACAACATCTTTGTTTGTATGTGGTGCTGAGGATTGAACCCGGGCCGCACGCATGCCAGGCGAGCGCGCTACCGCTTGAGCCACATCCCCAGCCCCAAACAACAAATATTAAATGATTCTACTTACTTGAAATTCTAAGATGAACACAGTGGTGAGCCTGTAACCCCAGATACTTCAGAGGCTGAGGCAGAAGGATCACAAGTTCAAATCCAGTCTGGGCAACTTAATGATACCTGTCTCAAAATAAAAAATTAAAAAGGGCTGGGGATGTAGCTTGGCGGTAAAGTACCTCTGGGTTCAATCCCCAGTACCACAAAAAAAAAAAATTTTAAATTCTCAATTATGTTACATTTCATCATATTTTTATTCTAGTGTCACAGCCCCCAGTCCCTTTCCCTCTTCCAAATACAGAGCTAATTTTCTATGAACAGCTTCAGCTAAGTGTCAAACATAGGTAGATGACTGGGTAAATTTGGATTATTATGATAATGTAATGGTATATCATTGTCACTTTTTCTAGATGTGAAATTTAGTGTAAAATTTTTATTTCAGCCTTGGCTATAATTCACACCAAAACAGTATAGGTGGGAAAGCTTTAGCTGGGAAATGTTTGCTAAACCAGAATGACTCATCTTTCTCTCCTTTTCTTCAGAAAAGAAAAACCTCTTTTTAATTGGATGGAAATTTTCTACCTCCTTGGCTTGGGGATTCTGGAAGTCTGCTGTGAATTTGTTTTCCCTTTTACCTCCTGGAAGCTGAAGTACCCCTTTATCCCTTTGTTACTGACTTCAGTGTATTGTGCAGTGGGCATCACACATGCTTGATTCATACTGTATGTTTCAGTGTTGACTGGCCCTCCTGTCAGCAAGACAAAGAAGCAATGAATAGAGGAACTGCTTGGAAGTAGGCCAAGCAATTATTTCATGGGAAATTAATCAGAACTTGAAGAAAGTTGCTGGTGGCATGAGCCATTCATTTTAGTAGATCTGTTTAGAGGACCATTCTTGCCATCCTTGGCCTTGTCGAGCCTAGCAACCTGATTGTCACCATGGTGAGAAGCCACTGCCCTCCGTAAGCAGTGAAATTCATCTGAAAAAAAAAATCTCATCTTCCTCTGACTGCTATGTTTACTGAAAGCTAACGGAGTCTGATTAACAGCATAATTATTTGTAGCCTAAGTTAACCATTGTCAGGATATAAAGGATAATTAGACTCCTCTACTGAAGGAAACATAAATAAAATGGCATTTTTTTTAATTTCTGCACAGAATACTTCTGGATCATTACCAGCTCCTACATTTTCCTATTTAGCATGCACACAGGCAGATGGTGTACTATCCCCATTCTGTACACCTTGTTCTAGGAGGTTTTTGGTGATGGGGGGGCGGTTGTTTTTTGGTTTTTGGTTGTTTTGGTTTTTGGTTTTTAGTTTTTTTTTGGGGGGGGGGGGTTGTGGTTTTGTTTTTCCCATTGAAGTTACACAATGATAATATTCAAAGCCAGGAGACTATTTAATGCACTGCTTTGGCCAGGCATCAGAGACTACAAACCAAATATAAGCTACTCTTATATTGAGTTTAGGACATCTTGAACAGCTCATTTTTTCTGATAGCAAGCACTGCAATTTTGATAGCTGCCACTTAAACTTTTCCTGGTGTGAAAGAACTGAAGAGATTTTGCAGATTTGTCTCTCCCTGTCCCTTCCTTGATAGTACTACATACATTTTATCTAGGACTCTAGTCACCTAATGCTGAACATTCAAATTTAACCAACATTTATCTAGCCAACACCAGAACTTTTACACATTTTATTTACCCATCACCCCCTAAGAAGATCAGAAAAAGTCCAAGGTCAGCGGCATCCTAGGATGCTAATCCAGTTATTCCATCTCTTAAATCCATTCTGTTTTCCCAGACTTCTCTTGAATCTGTTATTGGAGACATAAAGATGGAGATTTGGCCAAAGGAAAAGAGAAACATAACTCCTCTCGCCTCACCAGAGTCTCCCCTGCACCCTTGCCCAGTTCTCTCAACAACATAAAATTCTCAGTGTGCCACGGCTTCCTTTCATTCATGCTGCTTCCTCTCCCCTCTGACTTTTCTAATATCATCTGATTGTGCATACTTCAAGATTCAACCTAGGGGGCTGGGGATGTGACTCACTAGTAGAGTGTTTGCCTGGCATGCACAAGGCCCTAGGTACCATCCCCACTACAAAAAATAAGGTAATGGTCCTAAAGGAAGGTACAATGGTACATGCCTATAATCCCTGAAATTTAGAAGGCTAAGGCAGAAGAATTGAAAGTTTGAGGCCAGCCCCAGCAATTTAGCAAGACCCTGTCCCAAAAATTAAAAAGGGCTGAGGGATGTAGCTCAGTAGTAGAGCACCCCTGGGTTCAGTCCTTAGTGCAGAAAAAAGGAAAAGAATTTTGGGACCCTGGAGTCATACAGCCTGGTTGGAAATCCTACCTCCATTTTTTAAAAAATATTTTTTAGTTGTTGATGGGCCTTTATTTTTTATTTATTTGTATGTGGTGCTGAGAATCGAACACAAGTGTGTCACGCATGCTAAGCAAGTGCGCTACCACTGAGCCACAGCCCCAGACCCCCTACCTCCATTTTAAAGAATTATTTAACCATCCTTTGCCTCAGTGTTGTTGTGTCTCTCTCTCTCTCTCTCTCTCTCTCTCTCTCTCTCTCTCTCTCTCTCAGTGGTAGGGGGTGCCAGGGATTGAATTCAGGGGCACTCAACCACTGAGCCACATCCCTAGCCCTATTTTGCATTTTATTTAGAGGCAGGGTCTCACTGAGTTGCTTAGCACCTCACTAAGTTGCTGAGGCTGGCTTTGAACTTGCAATCCTCCTATCTCAGCCTCCCAAGCCACTGGGATTACAGGTGTCACCGCACCTGTAATCATCTCTTGAATTGAGAAGTGATTTAAAACATTGCCTGAAGCATTGTATTATATATGTGTATATATTATATATATAAAATATATATGGAAGATTCCCTCTCTCTCTCTCTCTCTCTCTCTCTATATATATATATATATATATATATTTAGACACACACACACCCCTGTTGCTACCTACATGAATCTTTTCTCTCTCTTCCCTTCTCCCCCAAAATTGAGTGTCCCCACCCAGTGTTCCCACTGCCAGGGATCTGCTTCTACCATTAACAACTGTAGTACTTGAGTGTGTTTTTTTAACCTGCTTTCCCCAGAAATCCAAACTTGTATTGTTAGTCCCATTGTTTGGCACAGTTGAAAGGGCAAGCACACCACACAGAGCATGATTAAAACCTAAATGTTACTTTGGTCCTTTGTGCTAATGCTTGCACTAGTAACTCCACACATTTTCGCCAATTGTATAAGCCAAAAAAAAATTTTTTTAAGTGGAAGATTAATTTGACTGCTCTCAAAGCCAAGTTTAATAGGCTTTGCATGTAGTTACTGTAAAAGTGATGTGATGACAGAACTGAAAGAACTCATCTGGTGCAGAGGTTTCTAGAATGGAGGGTTGAGCACTGGAGGGTTGTTTTCAAAGTTACCTCAGAGCCTCTGGGTTCCATCCCACCTTCCACCAAATAAATAATGTTTTGATCTATTTTACCTATTAGGTTATATTTACATTTTCCTTTGACATCAGGGTTCAGAGTCCAAAAATAGTCTTTAAACAGAATAACCCCTTCCACTATCAGGAGGAAAATGGCTCTGGAGATAGAAATACTGACTGGTGCCAGCATAGACTGGAACCCAGGCTTCCTGCCTACCACCCAGTACATTTTCCGGGTACTATATTTTAGATTCATGAATGTTTTGAAATTTTATAGACATGCAGGTGATTTTCAACAACAAATTCATATGTTTCAGAAGTTAGTAATAAATA